ATAATCTTTTTGAATTGGTGTGTTTAGACCAATTACCTTTGTAGAAAATCTGTTTTTTCTCTTTGGTGCTTTTAAGATTGTCTCTTTTTTCTTGATGTTTTAAAATCTTGCTAATATTCATTTGGGTGTGTGTGTTTGCTTTTTAGTTTTTATTATGCTCAGTGGGCTCTTTCAGTCTTTAGTTCTACAAAACTTTCAGTTTTCACTTCAAATACTGCCTCTCCATCATTCTCTATAAACTCTATTAGAAATCATTTTAGACTGATGTTACAAATTCTGGATTGCTCTTATATGCCCCTTTTCTTTTAACTTTTCATATCTTTACACACTGATAAGTTCTAGGAGAAATCCTTGGCCTGATCTTCCAGCTCATTTTTTTCTTTTTAGTAGCAAAATATATACATAACAAAATATTTGCCACTTCAATCATTTTCATGTGTATGTACACTTTTATGTGACATTAATTACTTTCACTATGGTGTGCAAACACCACCACCATCTGTTTCCAATTCTTCCATCATCCTTAACAGGAATTCAGTGCCCCTTAAGCAGTAACTTTCCCTTCCCCCGCCCCCATCCACCTATAGTAACCACTTTGGCCTCTATGCAGTCGCCTATTCATTTCATATGAGTGGGATCATACACTATTTGTCCTTTTCCAATTTATTTCACTTCACCCAGTATAACGTTTTCAAGGTTCATCCATGTCATAGCATATATCAGACCTTCATTTCTCTCTATGGCTGAATAATATTATATTGTACGCATATACCGCATTTTGTTTACCCATTTATCTGTTGATGGACACTTGGATTGTTTGCACATTTTGGCTATTGTGAAGAGTGCCGCAATGAACACTGTGTCCCTTTCTTTTGGGTATATACCTAGAATTGCTGAATCATATGGTAATTCTATGTTTAACTTTTTGAAGAAACGTCAAAGTCTTTTCCACAGCAGTTGTACCATTTTACAACCCCACCAGCAATGGATGAAGGTTCCAGTTTCTCCACACTGTCACCAATATGTTTTCTGTATATTTTTGTTTGTTTGTTTGTTTTTAATCATAACCATGTAGTGGAAGTGAAGTGATATCTCATTGTGGTTTTGATTTGCATTTTTTTTAGTTACTAATGATGTTGAACATCTTTTCATGTGCTTGTTGGCCATTTGTATACCTTCTTTGGTTAAATGTCTATTCAAGTCCTTTGCCCATTTTTTTATCTGATTGGGTTATTTGATTTTTGTTGTTGAGTGGTAAAAGTTCTTTATATATTTGAATATTAAACCTCATACCTACCCTACCTTTGCCATGCAGTTGATTCCAACTCATAGCGACCCTACAGGACAGCACAGAACTGCCCCATAGGGTTTCTAAGGAGCAGCTGGTGGATTCAAACTGCCAACCTTTTGGTTAGCTGCCAAGCTCTGAACCATTGCACCTCCAGGGCTCCATTAAACCCTGTGGTTCCCCAAAATTTTCTCCCATTCTGTAGGTTGTCTTTTCAGTTTGTTGATACGATTATTTGATGAAAAAGTTAACTTTGATGAAGCTCAGTGCTCAATTTTTTGTGTGTGTGTGTGCTTTTGTTATACCCAAGAATCCATTGTTAAAAATTGGACCCAAAGCATTACCTCTGTTTTTTTTAGGGTTTTAGTTCTTATGTTAAGGTTTTTGATCCATTTCTAATTTTCGTATATGGTGTGAGGTGTGAGTCCAGCTGGAAATCCAGTTGTCCCAGCACCATTTATTAAAGAGACTATTCTTTCCTCATTGAATGGACTTAGTATCCTTGTTGATCAGTTAAGCCATCCCATCCAGGACTTTTCTTTGTTGGGAAGTTTTTGATTACTGATTTAATCTCTTTAGTTGTTACAGGTCTGTTATGATTGTCTATTTTTTCTTGAGTCAGTTTAGCTAATTTGTGTGTTTCTAAGAATTTGTCCATTTTATCTAGGTTATTTTTTTGGTGTACAGTTGCTCAGTCTCTTATAACCTTTTTATTCCTGTAAGATTGATAGTAATGCCCCTACTTGCATTTCTGATTTTAGTTATTTGAGTCTTTTTTTTCCCCCTTTGGCAGTCCAGCTAAAGGTTTGTCAATTTTGTTGATTGTTTCAGAAAATCAACTTTTGTTTTGTTGCTTCTCTCTCTGTTTTTCTTTTCTCCATTTATCTCCACTCTAATCTTTGTTATTTCCTTCCTTCTGCTAGCTTTGGGTTTAGCTTGCTTTTTTTTTCCTAGTTCCTCAACTTGTAAAGTTAGATTATTGAGATTTTTCTGTTTTAATACACGTGTTAACAGCTATAAAATCTCATTCAGCATTGTCTGCACTGCATACCAAAAATTTTGGTAGGTTGTTTTTGCTTTCATCTACCTCTTAATATTTTTTTCCCTTGTGATTTGTTTGACCCACTGGTTGTTTAAGAGTGTTGTTTAACTTCCATGTATTTGTGAGTTTCCCTGTTTTCTTTGTTATTGACCTGTAGCTTTATTTCATTGTGGGCTCAAGTTACTTTGTATGGTTTCAACATTTTCAAATTTATTGTGACTGTTTTGTAGCCCAAAATATGGTCTGTCTTGGAGAGACACGTGTACTGTGCTGCTGTGGAATGGAGTGGTCTGTGCATGTCTCTTAGGTCTAGTTGGTTTACAGTGTTGTTCAAGCCTTCTGTTTCCTTAGTGATCTTCTGTCTAGACGTTCTATCTACTATTGGCAGTGATGTACTTAAGTCTCCAACTATTATTTTAGAAGTTTTTCTCCTTTCAAATCTGTTGTGGATTGAATTGTGTCCTCCAAAAAAGATATGTTGATGTCCTAACCCCTGTACCTGTGAATGTGACCTTATTTGGGTAAAGAAAGTCTGTCTTTGAAGACAGTATCAACTAAACTGCGCTGGAGTAGGATGGGTCCTAATCCCAATACCTTCCGAGTGGTGTCACGTATAACGGGAGGAGAAACACTGAGCTAGAATCACAGATGGGGGAGACACCATGTGAGGATCTGCCTATAGGCAAAGGAATGCCAAGAGCTGCTGGCAGCAACAAGAAACTAGGATAGAGGCATGGAAGAGCTCCTCTCTCAAAGTCCCCAGAAGGAATCAACATGGCTAGAGCCCTGATTTGGACTTCTACTCTACAGAACTACGAGGAAATAAACTTCTAGTTTTTAAAGCCTGTGTTTTGAAACTTCAGACTGCCTTCCATTAGTGGGCCACACAATCAATTTAGTGGGTCAAGCTGTTTTTTAAACTAAATAGACGAGACTAAACTTTTAAAATATCAGTGCCTGTCTTACGTGGTAAGGACAATCATAGTTCACACAACTTGTTCAGTTACGTACACATCCTTTCAGAGACTGGCTCTCATCTACGCAACAGATGATGAGACTCCCTGGCATAGGCAGCGTCTCTGTCAGTGGGGGATTAAAGCTTGGACATAGCACAATTTACTTGCCATCTGTCTCCCCATCCTCAAACCACTACAGTCCACCTACAGTCAACAACTAGCATGGTATAACACACCTAGGGCCTTCAGGATGAAAAGGTGGGCTCTCACAGAGGGTCAGAGAAAGGTTTCTTCAAGACGGCAAATATGTTCACAATGAGCTTGACTAGACTCCATAGTGCTCCTTCCTGCTTTTTTGCAACCCTTGCTTATTTGGGAGCCTGAGGGAACTTAAAGCACAGGGAGTCCCCTAGGAAAATGAAATGGTTTTAAAGCAAAATCTCTAATTTGGCGTGAGAACTTACTATGTGTCAGATTTTACACAGGCTGTATAGAAATTATGAGCTCTTATTCTCCAAGAGCTTATTCTATCCTGTGATGGAGATGAAACACTACAAATGAATACAGAAGAGTAGAAGGAATAAGCAGTGAATAGTACAAACTATTGCAAGTAGAGTGCTCTACCTATTACAGACCCAAACCTTTCCAAACGGAGGAAGAGATGAAAGAGGCATAAACAAAGCCCACTGAGGTATTGCAGTCTCCCAAAGCTGTTCCAGAGTGTCTTGAGACTGCCCTCTGTGACCCTGGCACCTGCTGGGTAGTGAGGGAAGGAACACAGAGCCTCTACCCCTTGGAAAAGGGAAGCACTCACATTAGTGAACACAATCTCATTCTAGCTGTAGACACTGTAGAGGGTGAATTGTCCTGGCAAAGGAAGTCTAGAACATGCAGAAGCTCTGTAATGGGAGACAGGCAGAGTTCGCAGCCTGTTTTGGGTAACTCAGGCTTAGTATACATGGAGGTTTATGTAACTGAGAAGGGTGTTGTTATGGAATGAATTGTGTCCCCCAAAAACATGTGTTGTAAATCCTAATCCCTATACTTGTGGATGTAATCCCATTTGAGAACAGGGTTTCCTTTGTTATGTTAACGAGGCCATATCCTTGTAGGGTGTCTTAAACCAATCACTTTTGAGATACAAAAGGAGTAAATCAGGCTCAAAGCAAGGAAGCCCAAGTGGAGAAAGACTGAGGCCACGTGGAGATCTCCAAGGACCCGAGGATGTGAAAGTGAAGGAGCCAAGGCCCTCCCTCCCACCAGGGCCGACAGAGCCTTCTCCTAGAGTCAGTGCCCTGAATGCGAACTGCTAGCCTCCTGAATTGTGAGAAAATAAACTTGTTTGTAAAGCTACTCTCCTTGTGCTATTTCTGTTACAGCTGCATTAAGAAACAAAGACAAGTGTCTTTTTAAAAAAAAACTTCCATACCTATTCAAATACTCCCTTCTGCTGCGTATGACTTACTTCTTCAGGGCAGGATAAGGGTCAGGTTTGTGAGCACTTGCTCTAGTCAACTATGTGAGGTTTTGTGCTCTTAGGAAGCAGACCATGTGCTTGGAGAGGGCACCTTAGTAGAAAACTCTGCCCATCCCTCATCCTGATGACAGCTGACACTTCAAAACAGCAGCTTGCAAAAAACCCTCAATTCCTTACTGTGCACGTTCTTCCCTCAGGAAACACCCGCCAGGCTGGAGGAAACAGAGACACGCCAAGTAAATTTGGATGTTTTATTCTGTAAAGCATATATGCACATATTTCAAACACAGAAAATTAATCTGGGAGTGAATACCATAACAGATCAGCTACTGACCATCATGCAACAGGGTAAGGGACATGGATCCGCTGGCCCTCATCACCCCACAGTGCCTGCAGGAGGGTTGAAAAACCAGGATGTATGGAATCCCTACAGACTGCTAAAGAAAACACAACAGAAATGGCAGGTTTCTAACGACGAGAAAAACTTACAAATAGAATCAAAACTGATTCAAGTCATACAGTGAAAGACAAGAGGAAAAAGGAAAGAGATCAATATGATCTGAAACAACCATTTTAATAGTAAGTTGCTGACCTTTTATTGGACCTCCAGTCCAAGATGCCTGAGGACGAGCCAGTGCTCCTGGGTGGGGTCACCCCTGAATGGCAAACGGCCCCGTCTGCCACGCTCTTCTAATCCTGAGGTCCACCAGCAAGACCCAGCTGAGGATCGGGCAGTCTGGAATGCCCAGACAGAAACAGTCCCTGAACGTCCCAAGACTTGTGGAAGTCTCTTCAGTTACTAGATCTCTTTACCCAGGTCCTGAGGCCTCCTTTCCTCCCAACCTTTCTGCACACATCCAATGGACTCTGGGTTTCTACGATACCTCTGAGAATTGCCTGCTGGGGTGAATTCTGACTTTAAAGCGTGTGTCCTGGCCTCATGACAAGTCATACTGTCCAGGCATTTTTGGCACTTCCTTTCCTCATGCCTAACAGTGTTCTTCTTCTCCCTGGCCACAGATTCCAGCCATTCCCTGTATTTAAAACAAGGGGAATTAATGTTAGCAAAAAGCTGGAATGCACAAAACAGGGAAATCAACTTTTCTCACCTGTCTTTCTCCTCCTATATTCCTCTGCAAATCATAAATCTAGTCCTGTAACTCCACTTCACTGGGATTTTTGCTACTCCAGTAGCAGCTTCATCTACAATCAGATGGTCTTAGTGATACTGATGTTTCTAAAGCCAACCCAAATGGCTCCTTCTCAATCTCTTGTCTCACAAGGGTCTCGGAGTCTCCAAAGAAAACAAAATTACCAGGTTATTCATGCATCATGTAAGCAACTCATATAAAACCACTGACTAGACAAATGTGATTACTGTGTTTGAAATGTACAAGGAAGAAAAGGAATACTGACATATCAAGTTGCTCAAGTAATCATTTTAACAATCTTCGGTAAAAGCCCACAATTGTTTTCCATTCAAGAATGCCTGGAATAAGATGTTCTAGGCCAATATATCTCATACTGAAGAAACTGGTTCTAATTTAGAACAGACTACAGACCTAGAGTCCAGGAGAGAAGTGCTGACAGTCACGTCGGACGTTCTCACTGCCCTCATGCTATCACACTGCCTGGGAGAACACGGGAGTCCTAACAACAATGAGTTAGGAAGGCAATCAGTGTTTCAAATGTGTAGGGAAGCCTTGACTGAATTCAACTCCTAAAAAGTTCAGAAAAAAGAAAAGGGGGGTGGGGAATAACAGTAAAAGAAAGGATGAGAAAAGATAATGCAGGGTATTATTATTTTTTTTTTTTTAAACGCAGGCAGATTAGAAGGAAGAAGGGGTAGAGAAACTGGATCATCATCAGAACGTCACAGGAAAAAAAATGCTTTCGGTTTTCCCCGATGAATGGTAAATCAGAATTGCCCTCTTTCAAATTTCACAGGCAGTGTTTTCATAACATTACTGATGTACTAAATGCCATGTTCCTTCTGAAGACAGGTTAGCTGTACAAAAACAGATGCAAAGAGAGAACTCCACCCCCTACTTCAAACCAAGAAACGCTTTCATGACCATTAGACTGACTCATGGTTCTCTTTTCCATTCTGTCATCTGCATTCCAGAAAGAAGACCAACTCATTTCTGCTCTACTCTAGAGCCATTTGAAGCATCCCTGGTGGTGCAACAGTTAAGCGCTCGGCTGCTAACAGAAAGGTAGGCAGTTCAAACTCACCAGCAGGAGAAAGGCCTGGCGATCTGCTCCCATAAATATTCCAGCATAGAAAACCCTATGGGGCAGTTCTACTCTGTCCTATACGGTCACCATGAGTCGGAACTGACTCAGCAACACACAACAACAGAGCCAGTGACTTCATTTGTAAGCCCTTTTGAGTAAGGAAGCTGCTTTAACTCTGTGATGGAGGGAGGGGGCAACAGAGGAGAAAAAGACAGTAGACCATTCCGTGCCAACCCAAACAAGACCAGTTTCCTCACTATCCATGTGGAAAATGAAACTTAGATCTTTACCAGGTACGTGACTTTTAGATATTTAACTTTTACTCAGGATAAAAGCACAAGTCTGTCCTAACTAGAGTAGTATTAAAATGTGACTATTTTATTTTCTTTAAAAAAAACTTAGAAAGATAGGTATGTTTCCTTGCAAGCAAAACGGAAAAAAAATGTATTATCGTTGTTACTATGATTATTAAGCCACAGACACATAAAATCCACAGAATGGATTGGTGGCTTTGGATATGCAGTATCATATCAAAGGTGCAGACTGGTTCAAACATTCTGTACATACTGGGCAGAACCAAAGCAAACCTCAACCCCACCAGAAACAAAATGTCCCCGTGACCTTGGTGAAGACATCATGACCTGCTCCAAGAAGCCGCCAGATCCACAAACGCTCCCTAGCACTATGCAGACACATCAGCCAAGTCCACCAGTGAGGCTGAAGGGTTCTGGCTACACCCAGTGTGAAGCACGTGCATCACTGGACCAATTTCGAATCGATTTTTATAAATATGTACAAATCAGTTACAGGCACTTGAAATGTCTTTGGCTGGAATAACCCAACATTGCAAGACAATGTATTCACAGAGTGTCCAGGCCCAGGCTGGGTTCAGCAGGCAATGATTATGGTTCTCTCAGTCTCTCTCAGAAAAACAGGAGATGGGGGATTAGGCTTCAGCCAAAGCCACCTGGAAGAGAGCAAGACAAGCAAGGCCAATCACAGGGAAGGCCAGGGAACTTGACCCCCCGGCTCCCATCCACAGACCAGGGAGCCACACTGCAGGGACTGGTCATCAGGGACGCTAGGGATCCCTAAGGAAAAAGTATCATCTAACTCCCGAATCTATTGCCCTAAGATGACCTTTAAACCTTAAACCAAAACGATCCCCTGAAGTCTTCTGAAAACTAAACTACAGTTCAGTTTAACTAGTAAAAATGTCTGCCTTGTGCATTATGTTGTTTCAAGAATTATCTATATGGGATCAAAGTGACAACAGCAACTCAAAAGGTTAGACAGGAAGCTTAGGTGGCAGTGAGTTTATGTTAATGGAGGAGGAACAACTCGGAAAAGGAGGGTGAGAATGGCTGCACAACTTGAGGAAAGTAATCAATGTCACTGAATTGTAAGAGCTGACACTGTTGAACTGGTGTATGGTCTGCTGTGTATATTCTCCACAACAACAACAAAATAAAAACAAAGATGAAAAAAAGTCTCATCTAGAAGGGAATGAAAAGAAATCCAAGTCTCCTGCGAGAAGGAGTCGATCTAGTACAGCCACTGCACTGAGACATAGAGCTAACTTGTTTTTGCTTCCACAAAAAAAAATTTTATTGTTGTAAAATATATACAACACATTTGCCAATTCAGTATTTTTCAGGTGTCCAATTTAGTGATATCGTTTACATTAATCATGCTGTGCAGCCATCAGCCGTAACTGTTGCCGAGTTTTCCACCATAAACAGAAACCCCTTGCTTCCTAAACAATGACTCCTCCCTCCCATCTT